CCCCCACCCGCCCGGAAACCCTGTCCTATTCAAAACCCCTTCTAGCTCCGTCTCCACCGCTTATCCTTCATCCCCTCCGTTCCCAAAACCATCCACCCATCCATAACATCCATCCATCGAACCGTTCATCCATCCATCCATTCATCCATCCATTCATCCATCCATTCATCCATCCATTCATCCATCGAACCGTTCATTCATCCATTCGTCCATCCATCCATTCATCCATTCATCCATCCATCCATTCATCCAGTCTTCTCCTTCTCCCCCTCCTTCATTTTTCCCTCCACCCGCAAGATCGAGAGAAGCTGCAGAAAAACTCTCTTCATCATCATCGATTCGCCTCAGCTCCATACGTAACCCCAACCTTACTTCCGCTTTGACCAGTCGATCCCTCCAGCCACACCATGGGTAAAGACTACTACAAGATCTTGGGCGTGCCCAAGGATGCTGACGAAGAAGCCATCAAGAAAGGTAGGTCCCTGTTCCCCCTCGTTCCTTCGCTCTCAAACCCATAGCAACCAACCCTAAGACTTCCACCAGCCTTCTCAAGATGCTAACCTCCCTCACGGTCCACCATCACTCAAACACTAGCTTACAAGAAGGCGGCCCTCAAGTGGCATCCCGACCGCAACAAGGATAAGGAGGAGGCCGCCGCCGTGAAATTCAAAGAGGTAGGAGAGGCCTTTGAGGTCCTCTCAGACAAGAATAAGAGGGCCATCTACGACACCTATGGAGAGGATGGCCTCAAAGCAGGTCCACCCCCGGGGACAGGAGACGGACCTGGCTCTGCTGGATTTGGTGGCTTCCCAGGTGGAGGCTTCAGTGGTTTCTCAAGCGCCGGAGGTCCTGGTGGGCGCACTTTCCATTTCAGTGAGTAAGACACCGTCATTCGCCCCTTCATCCCCATGATGGATCCCTTCTCGCGCGAAGAACCTTGCTGAAACCTTCAACTCCTTTGTGGAACCCCGTTTTCGCTGGATTCTGTGATCGAAGGTACAAGTGGAGGAAGAGGAGGATTCTCACCCTCTGATCCGAACGATATTTTCGCAAGCATCTTTGGTGGCAGCAGCCCCTTCGGCAGTATGGGAGGCATGGGAGGTATGGGAGGTATGGGAGGTATGGGAGGTATGGGAGGTATGGGAGGCATGGGCAGAGAGGACGACATGTTCGGAGGAGCCAGAGCGGGTGGCATGCCGGGAGGGTTTTCCTTCGGCGGAGGTCACCAACAACAAGGTGCTGGTGCTGAACCCAAGGCCAGTGACGTGGAAAAGAAGCTACCTTGTTCTCTCGAGGACCTGTACAACGGCACTACCAAGAAGCTCAAGATCGGAAGGCGGATGCTCAGCGGAGCTTCAGAGGAGAAGGTTTTGACTGTTGATGTCAAGCCCGGTTGGAAGAAAGTAAGTACGACGATTCCCCCCTCTTTGCAACCTCCCTACGAGAATTCCCAGCCTTCTTCTCCCAAAGTTGGTATCGCTTACCGTTTCTGTTTGTTTTTTGATTTTTGTTTTTTGTTTTTTGTTTTTGGTGTATCTCCTTTACCTGGACGCATGTCCGAACTATTTATGGCAGGGCACAAAAGTACGCTTCAACGGGGCGGGAAACGAAGTCTCTCCAGGAAAATTCCAGGATGTCGTTTTCATTATCGATGAGAAGCCGCACCCTCGCTTCCGAAGGGATGGCGATGACCTCCGGCTTACTATCCCACTCGCTTTAGTCGACGCCCTGGACCCACCGAAGCCGGGTACCTCAGCATCTCGCAAGGGTGTAACGTCACTTGACGGGAAAAAGATAGAAATCCCGCTCCCAACGCCTGGAGTAGCAAAGACCTCGATCACGCCCGGCAGATCCACGAGGCTGGCTGGCGAAGGAATGCCCATCAGCAAAGCTCCTGGCAAGAGAGGTGATCTTGTCGTGGAGTGGACGGTAGAGATTCCCGAGCGGCTCACCGATATTCAACGCCAGAACATCAGGAAAGCTTTGGCTTAACCGCCATCACCGACGATTGCCTCTTTCCACTTTACCAACTCTCCACCGGGCCGACTGATTCCCATACCACATGCTTTTCCTCTCAACGTCGATTGAACGATGATCGTCTTTTGAATTCATTTGTACTTTACAACCAATTTTTCGTCGTCGCAAGGACGATACAAAGCTGATCGCACACATCCCTCTGAAATGCACTCCTTTCGTTGATCTTCTCATCTCTTTCGGGAGCCCAAACAGCAATGGCAGAAGTGGGAGACGGTTCAGATGCCGTTTTGAGCCCAAAGCTGTTCAGAACCTGTTTAGTCTGAGCTATTTGGTAGATCATAGAAGTTTGATTCAAACATGAATAAGAAACAAACACTATAATTAAAAGCCTACGCGCCGGAGCAACGCATAGTCCTGCTAGCTCAGTGGTAGAGCGTATCTCTCCTAATCCGTACTTCTTACCCCAGGAAAGATGAAGTCGTGGGTTCGACCCCCACGTGGGACTCATTTTTTGAGGCGAATCTTGCCCCTCTTTTTGTTTCCTCCTAAACCAGAAGACGAGCTTTCTAAATCTGGCTTGGCTGCAAACACACGAACAAGTTGAGGTAGAAATAAAATAAAAAAGCTTTTCTGAACGGTTTTGATTATTCTCTAAATGTTCAGTGGTTCTTGTTCGGTTGCATACAGTGAGCTGTGAAAGTACGGATTTGAAGGCTAAACAGCTGTAACTGACTTCTGGGGGTTTCCTTCGATGACGGCCTTCGGCTCCTTGCATTCATGGAGTCAATCCTCGTACCCTGGGGGGACCCCGCGAGTGTCCCCAAGTGTATTTCTCAAAGCATGAAGGGACCTCGGGTGAGAATTCTGACCATAGGCAGGAGGATGAAGGTCCAGATCGTTTGAAATGAGTTGCTGCCCTGACACGTCGCTACCGAGCATGCTAGATTGCGCAGTGATGATAGCACTTTCAGGTCCAGCAACTCGATCTAAGCGGCTGTGGGCCACAGCGTAAGGAGGCGGCTCCATCCCCGATGCCAGGTTTCTCTCCTGTGGCGGACTAATCTCGGAGAGCCCACCATGGCTGGGATCTAGGTCCGAGTAGGTGTCAGTGGACAGTGGCGTATATGCTGGCCGAGGTGGACTATGCGGAGGGGGAGGGCTGTTGCCTCGTGCTCGATCTGTTACGGACGCATCTTCGACTGTTGGCGCTGAGAGTCCTGACAGAACCACCTGATCAGTCAACCATGCATCACGAGGTTGCACCACAGAGTCTCCCTGCCCCTCCATTGTGAGGGCTGGGGGTGGAGGCAGATCCTCATTATCGTCTGGCGCACTTTCTGGGGGCCTGTCGTAAGGCTCCCGAAGGTTCAGATGGGAGCTACTCGCTCCAGCCATGGTAGAAGTACCAATGCGAGGATGAGCTCTGGGCATGGCGAGTCCAACACCTTCGACCTCAACCTCAACTTGTAGGTCATGCTGACTTTCTTGGAGAGTTGGTGGTGGACCATGATGATCGTCTCCTGCTTGATTTTCGAGGATCTGGCGCAATTGTTCCAGACCCTCTGCATGACCATCCAAGGACGAAGATTCACTTCCGTGAGGAATCGCATTTCCAGTGAGCTCCATGTCCGCTACTCCCCCGGGATGGCGAAGTCCTTCTCCCCCGACATCATCATAGCCATCGTACTCCTCTTCTGCATCAAAGTCAAGAAATGATGATCCAGCGTCTGATGATGAGGGAAGAAAACTGGATTTTCCATGATCTTTAGGCTCATCTGCTTTTGACTGGGTTTTTTCCGACTTCTTGTCAGTCGGCAGAGACTTAGGTGTGGCTTCCTCCCCCTCCAGCACGCCGGCGGCGCCAGGCAGAATCTTCACGGTCCGCAAGCAAACCACGTCTCGCCTCTCCCCGCTGCCCCCCAGGATGGCTATACGGATCCGTACTTCGAACGCGACTTCGTGGAGGACAGTCTCTTGTGTTATACTCTCGCAGCCACCTCCGCCGCCCCTAGCGTGGATGGGGCCAGATGAGAGAGCATCGTGGTCAGGATGAGGATGCGGCATGTTTGAGGAGTCAAACGGGGGATGGAGGGATAGTCGAAGTAAGACAGGCCTCTGGCTGTGAAAACGACAAAGCTTGCCGCTATGCGCAAGAAGTGCCTCGTACCGTGACTGGGATGAGCTCGCTGCGCGGTAGGATGAGGGCCCCTCTTGGGTGTCAGGTCCGAAGATGGACCGCCCAGTATCAGCTTCTCGTCCGACTACCGCTCCTAGTATTCCTTCCGAGTCCAGGACACTAGAATTCTCTGAGTGCCTCTCGCCAGTTGCGGAATGTCTTCGTTTCACCGTGATGATTCTGACAAAATCTGCCTCTACACTACGTAGTTGAAGACCCTTCTCCACAACCATCACTTCCTCGGGCGGTGGAATACGAACCTTGACGTCTATCGGCTCAGCTCTTCGGAATATCGTGCGACAAAGCTGGACTTGCGCGAGTACCGGAGATTCGATGGACCAAGAGTGGGCACCGAGTCCAAAACATCCTTGCCTATCGGCGTCTTGGGGCAATGATTCTCGCACATTAGCCAAAGAAAGATTTGAAAGGGGCCCTGGATGACTGTATCGCGTCAAGTGGACCGGAACCGTCTTGACAACATCGGCCACCTCCCGTCGGTTGCTGCTATGTAGTCGAGCTTCCAGACTGTAAGTGAGACGACTTTTTCGCAAGTGAATGCAGTGTGGAAGGTCTGGAGTGAGGCTGAAGCAGAAAGGCATCGTAGATGGTAAAGGCGGAGTTGGACAAGTGGAAGTTGTCGCCGCACTGGAGTCCCACAGAGTACAAGAAGATCCAAAGAGCTCGATCGAAGTCTTTGTGCCCAAGGAATCATCTTCATCGACACTCTCACTGGCTCTGAAGTCTATCGTGCTGTATTCGCCAACCAGCATGCGGAAATGCACATGGAGTGAAAAATCAAATGTTTAGTTGAGGATCACAAGCTTTTAAGTAGGCTTCTCCCTTACTCACCACTTCCAGAAGGAACCTTTTTGCCGAGCAGTTTCGTCTAATTTTACCAAGACGTCCCCCTTGACCCAGGACTGAAAAGCGTCCAAGCCCAGGTAGCCCACTTGGAACGATGTAAGGTCACTGCACGGAACAATATCAAAAAAGTCGTCCGTTGGACATGGCAGATGCACGTGTGTCATTGTCGATGTGTTCAGCGGCGAGTGGGGGCTGTGGAGAGCAGAGCGGGTTATGGTAGATTGATGTGATGGCCCAAATCGTGCGCAAAGTGGCGGTGACGTCTACCAATGGTGACAAGGGCGAGGTTGAGGTCGGATGATTTGATTACTATCTCCTGGAGCATCCATACCTAGATCTGAACGGGCGGGAGGCCCCGATCTTGGATGAGGTGCGTGGAAGGCGGATGGCGAAGAAGTCAAGGTCATCAAGGAAAGAGGAAAGCGTGAATTCCTAGGGGGAGGTCAAAAACCTCATCCATCCTTGAAGTAAAGGATTCCACGTGGGGCCAAGACGGATCCGATTCTCCACACATCCCTTGCGCAGGGTTTCTGCCACAAATACAAATAGAATATAGAATAAAAGAACATTAAAAATTGGAAACGGAAGACTTCCTTTTAAACTTCCTCAGATGTTGATGGAAAAGCTCATGAATCATTTTTTGCATGCCCTTGGCAAGAGATACTAGGAAATGATGAGTCCTATCCAACTTGCTCAGTGGTAAGCAAGCAATCCAATCAATGAGAGAGATAGCAAAGTAAAAGTGTTTCATAGCCACAGTGAGGAGAGGGAGTTATTCTGGTTGAGCTGCTGAAAAGGCTCTGGTTTCCCTATTACCCTTGCCTGATGGTTACAGTTCAAGCATAGATAGATTCTTGCCTCCTGTAAGAGTTGGATCTCTTACTGCTATCCTGATCCTGTGTCCTCTTCGGGAAATTCACTGGATTAATCAATTAGATTCCAGAAAGTGCTACTTGGGTACATGTGAGGTTTCTGGCTTTCCTGCCTCACTTGCCTGGTGCTCACTGACCAGATGTAATGTTAGATACTTGTCTACCTTCCTCATCCTGACTTCTGCTTAGTCATCTTGCTGAGTCAGCAATGTTCCTCTCCCTGTGAACTTTTACCTGATCAGTGATCAGAACTATATAGTTCTTCTGCTCTCCTCACCTGATGTACTGTCTCCTGATCTAGGATGATTTCTGACCTGACCTCTGGATCTCAGAGGTCAGGTTGATCACATGGTATTTAAACCCTTTTTCCCTCTTTCCCTCCATCTTCTTTTCCACATCTATCCATCCACTCCTGTTCCCAAGAGCACTTTCTGGAATCTAAGAGATTAAGCCAGTGAATTGCCCGAAGAGGACACAGGATCAGGATAGCAGTAAGAGATCCAACTCTTACAATCTGAGAAATGACGCTGTACTGCAAACTCTTGGATTGGAAAGGATGATGTCACTCATGAGCTCTAAGAATTTGCTCTTCCCCTTTTCATTCTACCCTAGCAAATCATGTAATTAAGTAAGAGAATTGCCTTAAAATTTCATTCACATTAAACCTAGGTGTCATTAATACCACATTTGCATTTAATTAAGCAATTTGAGGTGTGGTTCCTACCAGCTGTTTCACAATTCATCTCACAATCTGACTCATGAATTTCTGCAATTTTTACCTAGCTTCTTCACCATTAATTATTCCCACAGGACCGCAGAACTTATGTCTCAATGATCTTAAGCATCAGGATAAACAAAGCAAAGATGAAGAAAATGCTTAAGGTAGAGGGAGTTCAGAGCCAAAAACAGAGGGTTAGTTGAATGTGACCTATATAGGATGATCAAGGAAAGTGAAATCAGTTCCCTATCCAAAAAATATTATTAATTGTTATTCTTTTATGCTATAGTCAAGGAGTTAGAAAAGGTGGTTTCACAAGTCTTTCAGCAAATGATTTATTGGTTGGTGCTTTTCTTTTTGAGTGATGCCTCAAAGTCTTCCTAAGTATAATCACATATTTATTGAATCAAGATTCTTTTTGAAGGGAGACATAGCAATCTCAAGTTTTTTCTTGTGTCCCTGCAATGGTTGTCATTGGGGCAATCATTGGTATTTCAAGCTTTTACTACCTTCAGTTCAAGACCCCATGTTCCATCTATTTAGTCAAAGCATTAGATAATCTTATCAATTTCCTTGAGAGCTTATGAGTATCTCTAGATTACTTGAACCTGAGTGCTTACAAATTAGCTTGAAGATTCTTCTTGAGGAGGTATTGGAGTTATCATGATTATCACAGATCTTTTCACAAGGAACAAAGATCATTCCTGGTGCTTTTGCATGTGAGTTGGAAGCTCACTTATACTTTGATCACCCTTTTCTCCAAAACTTGCACATCTTATAAAGGGCCAGGATTCTGAAAATTTCTTGAAGTCTTGACAAAACCCTTTTTGATGATCTTGAGAACATACCTTGTCATGTATGCTTCTTCTGTGCTA